ATTAATGCAACTTGAGTTTGTAGTAAATGAAGTTGGACTTGTTCTTGACTTCATTCAATGCCACTTGAGGTTGCCATAAATGACACTAGAGTGCATTTAATGTAACTCCAATTTGTTGTCAACTTGGACATAGGATTCTCCAACAACTTCCTTTAACTCTTTGAAGACTAAGACACTTTGGTTCACATCAGTTGTTCCGGTCAATCGACAACGTAGTTGCATTAGGAACGATATTCGAATGCAACTTGGAAGGAGGCAATGCAAAGGTATCAGTTGATGTGGTCTTCCAGAATGATTGCCCTTTGCCAATTCCATCTAACAGAGGATCGAACGTACTAGCTGACGAGTTAGGTTCGCACATATTATGGTCAGGACACCTCATTGCCATCACTGAAAAGGGGGTAACATAGTGTAAAATAATTTAAGTATTATGCCCCGCTTTTTAGTGTAAGACTAACTTCAATTCCTTCAACTAAGTAGGAGGTTGCAACCAGAGAAGAGGTGCTTGAGCTGTACCTGTTCGAATATGATTGAAGCACCCCAATTGTTATGCGATGCCTGCTTCGTGAGATGAAGATATGTAAATCTCAAGTAACATTGCCAGTGACTGAGGACGTGTTCGGATGTACCCGCATTTGTAGAGTATGGACGGACATTGTTCAAACCTTTTATGAGATGAAGTCGATAACTGATCCGTGCATAGATGCATATATCATGTAAGTGACATGACTTATAAATTATAATGAGATCACCGGAACGATAACATCGTCATATCACTAATGTTTGACTTTTATGTGTTTTGTAGATACTTATACAAGAACTTGGTGACGAAAGGTGCATCTCATATGTACAAATTTCTTGATGCTGGGTCAATATCGACATCCAATCTTTCAAAAGAAGCACGAACGGAGAATTTGACAAAACGACTTATGCAAATGGAGTCGGGTCAGTTGCTTCTTGCTCCCTACAACAGTGGGTAAGTCCTTTTCATTAATATAGCTATTGTGGTATGTATGTCTAATTTAACTGATTTTATAATTTATTTGGAATGCATAGATCAGATTGGATATTAATAGTCATTCATTACTCGAAGACCATGGTGTATTCAATCAACCCTTTGAGAAATCGTCTGGACAATGATATAATGGATGTCGTCAACCGGTATGTAGAAGTCACCTAATGATTGAGCTTAAGTTCATTTTTTTTATAAACTTATTATCCATCGCTTCGTAGGGCTTTGAATAAGTGCAACAAAGTAAAGGTACATTGGAAGTGTGTAAAGGTAAGAAATGTAGTTCACTCATTAAATGGTTCATCGTCACTATTCTATTTATTATCAGCTTAGTGTTTGGGAAATGCCTTGTTGTGTCCATAGTGCCCAAGACAACCTGGCTCAACAGAATGTGGGTATTACGTAAGTAATAATTTAGCCTGTATGAATGTCAAAACATATGTATATATTCGAATGTCTCGAACTTAATTAATTACTGATTCTATGGTTACAAATGAAACTTGAACCGAAAGAATAGACAAAAGACGACATAAACGTGTTGAGAATGGAGTGGGCCGAGTTTGTTGGCTCCTACCTTACTTTTTCATAAGATGTGTATTTACTTTTTTGGCCGACCATGAACTCATGTTGCATATAATATTCTTTTTTGCTTGCACATTGTTCGAGTTCATGGTTGATGCATTGGTAGCAACACTTTTGTCTCGCTTATTTTTTGTAACCCTCTTTTTATCGTCACAAAATGAAATCATTAGTGACGTTTTTAAACCGTCACCAAAATATTTTTAGGACGATTATCAAACGTCACGAAATTCACTTTTCGTGACGTGTAAATACCGTCACGAAATACAATTTTCGTGACGTTTAAACACCGTCACGAAAGGATGTCACGTGACCTCTCCTCCCATTTTCAAGGTCTTTCCGTGACATTCTCTAACCGTCACGAAATCATTTTTCATGACGGTTGATGAACGTCGTGGAAGTTAATGTCTTTCGTGACGCTAATTAACCGTCACGTGTACCAATTTTGGTGACGTTTTTTAAACGTCTCGTATACCTTTCGTGATGGGCGTATACGTGACGCCAATAATAACGTCACGAAAGATTTTTGTGACTCCAAAAAAACGTCACAGTAGACTAAATTTCTAGTAGTGATTATACTTTCTTATAAGTCATACGCAACACTTGTAATAAAAAAAAGGAAAAGAAGCGTTTTTTTTAACATGCAAAACATAAAGTTTGAATAAAAAAATAAAAAAAGATTTGCAATCACTATATTGTACAGTAGGTTTTTTTTAAACAAAAAAAAGTCCATTCATTCTCACATGCAAAACATAAAGTTAGAATAAAACAAAATTTTCAATCACTATATTGTACAGTAAGGTTTTTTCTTTTTTTTTT